TTATTCACAAATGCATTTATTTTTTCGGACGCGTCCATAATCGTCACTTCTCGTCCTTGAATCGAAGTATTTATTTCGTTCAAATGACTAAAAATATCTGTTAAATAGGCCAATCCATGAATGAACTCAATATTATCAAAATGTTTTGAGAGTGAGCTTTGCCTTTCTATTAAAAAATAAGAAATTTCATCTCGTAGTTCATACAAACGTTTCAAAACTTATTGTCCTCTGGAAAGCCAACGTACTTCTGTATAGTAAAGAAGAACTTCATGTTCAGCTCCCATTTCTTGGCATAAAACTTTGAAAAGTCGGTGATGTAAGGCTCTAGATCTGATGAAATTAACAACTTTGACTGCAGTCATCATAATCTCTTTTAGATCGGTTGGTAGAGTTCTTGATGCCAAAGCGTGACGATGCAGAAAGCAATGAGTGATGACGATATCGGGAATTTCATTTTTCATCAAAGCTGTAAAACCAGATGATTTACCAAGCATCGCAGGAGCGCCATCGGTACACAGCGAACCAAGTTTTTTTTTATAATTTATTTTATGCTTCGAAAAAAAATTAATAATCATTTCAAACACGTCTATTGCCTTCGTAGTTTTTAAAAGTGGTTGACAAAATAGGAATTCTTCTTTACTACTTCCAGAATGTATGTAACGTACAAAAACTAATAATTGGCTGCATTGAGAAATATCTGTACTTTCATCCAACTGCATACTGAATGGAAATTGTGTTGAATCTAATTCCGCAATTACTTGTTCCAAAATGTTARTTGACATATCAGAAATTCTTGAGTGAATTGTGTCATTTRACAAAGGCACAGCTTCAATTYTTTTGCGTTGTTYCATACCACAAACCAGTTCTACCATTTCTAATGCACATGGTTTTATTAGGGATTCGCCAATTGTATGTGGTTTTTTATTTTTAGCAATACGGTACGCTACTTTGTAAGATGCTTCGAGACATGGTTTTTGTGGAGGTACAAATCCAAGTTTAGGCAATGTACCGGATTTTTCAAAACGGGCTTTTTTAGTTTGAAAGACTTCCAAACCATCTGATGTATGTTGAGGATGTACCGAAACTAGGTGTTCTTTAAGTTTGGTTGGTTTCATGCTCGAATTTGCTAGGATTTTTCCAYAGATAAAACATTGTGGTTTTTGCGTACCATCGCGTTCGGTAGTAAATGTAAAACCAAATAACATATATGATTTATCGTATTTTCTTTTTTTCGACATAGTAATATTATTAAATTGTAAGTAAAATTAAACTTAC